AAGATTCTGGTAAATTTCTTTCTTTCTGTCTTTCCTTTTTTTGTTGTTTTACTACACCTTTCCCAGAAACATTCATTATTTTTTATTCTTTCAAACACGTGTATCCAGATACATTTTCTGGATCAATTTGCCAAGAAAGAAAAAAAACGCAGTTTGATTTTGTACTTTGTTCTTTCTCGTAGAAACTAAAATGAATGAACCATAATTTATTTTAGATAATAAAAAAAAATAAATTCCACTTTCATTCTTGTTTGTCTTTACTTCTTTGATTTGTTATTTTAGGTTGAATTAAAATTGTAAAATATAAAATTATACGGTAATGAAGCTATTTTTATTCAGTTTCAATCATCAAAATTGAGCTGGTATATAAATGTACTTTAGACAATAGTCTACTGATCAATAGATCAGATGTTATTGCTATTACTTGCTTACTTACTTACGCCTGTTACCTACAATAGAGCATAGACCGACGATCAGCATTCTCCAACACAACATGTTTAGAGACTTTTATTCCAGTTCTATCCAATTGTTGTTCATTCTTCTCATGTCTGTTTACATTTCTCGGTGTATTGTGTTCTTTGGTCTTCCTCTTTTCTTTCGACCTTGAGAATTCCATGTGAGGGCTTGTTTTGTGACGCATTTGGGTGATTTCCTCAATGTGTGTTCAATCCACTTCCAATGCTTCTTCCTGATTTATTCCTCCGTTGGAATCTGGTTTGTTCTATTCCAAAATAGGTTGTTGTTGATAGTGTTTGGTCAACGGATTTGAAGTATTTTGCATAGAAAATTGTTAATAAACACCTGTATCTTGTGGATGATGGCTTTCGTAGTTATCCAAGTTTCTGCCCTATACAGTAGAGCTGTGTTCACATTTGTATTGAAAATCCTGACCTTAGTGTTGGTTGACAGAGAGTTGTTTTGAGTTCCAGATGTTCTTACTATTATTATATTGAATTTCTTTTAGTATTTATTTGGTAATTTACAAATTTGATTACTTCATTAACTCAGCTATTTTAACAAGTGAAATGTTTATGCAATATGTTACTTGTTAAAAACTGAACAACCTTCAAGTAGATTAGGTTATCACAATTGATTGATCACTGTGTGACGATCAATGTCATACGTTTCTAGTCCTTATTAGTGCAGATCGAATGCTATCGATCATGTTGCAATGTGGCCACCAGTCTAGGTGACTCGACATTGCGGGTACTATATATTGAAATTAGATGGTGGTTGGAGGTAGTCGACAGGAAACCCTGGATTCGGGTTTCGTGCTACTTAGCACTCGTCAGGGAATTGGTGCTCCCTGGGTCCAGGGTTTCCTGTCGACTACCTCAAACCACCATCTAATCTCAAGATTAGGTTGTAAATAATTTCCAGGTGAATAAGCCTTTAGTTGTTTCTTCAGAGTTTAATTCAAATGAAGATGTAGCGTTAATATTCAATCTATATCAAATAAGAAGATAATCTAATTGTAACCAAGTAAATGATTTATAACTTGAGTTTATTTATAATCATACTTTTCATGAATTAAACCCGATGCATTCTTTGTATTCTGAAAAAACAACATACTAATTTATGATTGAGATCATGAACCGATTGATGTTTGACCACCTTTGGAAACCTGGAAGCACTGGACGGCCGTTTCGTCCTATTGTAGGACTCCTCAGCGGTGCGCATCCACGATCCCGCTCACGGGATTCGAATCCAGGGCCTTCGGTCTCGCGACTAACCAACTGAACCACTGAGTCGGCATCCAGTGATGATAGTGTCCAATTTATGCTCATCAACACTTCTTAATTCTTTTTCTGTTAAATTTGTATTCTAGTAATTTCATAGGATTCTATATTTGTAGTCAATAGATAAGGGGGATGTTGTAAAATGTTGGAATCTTCATGATCATGACAGATCAGTCACTGTTATCCATCTTTCCCAGCTATTTTTTTTATTCATGTTCAACAGACAATATTTGTAGATTAAACAGTTCATTCTTTTGATGTGGATTGAGAAACACACCATGTGTTGCTGTGACAACATAACAAAAGTTTATGAATCTAAAATAGGACTTGTTTTTAAATATGGATCCGTCGAATTGACAGGGAAGTTTAATTTGATTACTGTGTGTTTTCTAAATTATTGTTTGAAAAACAGTTGACATACTACTCTATCATGTATGTATCCTCAAATTTAACACAGTAATATGGTGAGTTTATAGTCAAGCAAACAAATCAGATTGGAAATTTAACGTCTTATGGAGTTAATACTTACTTACGCCTGTTACTCCTCGTGAAGGATCATAGACCGCTCACCATCATTCTCTATCCAACCCTGTCCTGGGCTTTATGGAGTTATAACAAAGTAAGTTTTTGTGAACTTCAAAATAGATTTCAGTTTATCGATTTGAATGAACAAAACTTTAAGCTTGATGAATATATTATATGACGATGAAAGGATTGTATTTTTCGGACAGTATCAGACAGGAACTTGAGTACTATTAGATTAACAACTCATTATTGTTGTAGTGAACAAAAACAACAGTGATAACAATCAAATATATGTGTTGTGGATGCGGAGGAATAGAGCAATAATTATCATGTTAAGTCCAATGGTGTCCTTGGACTTTAAATGGATATTTTCTATTGGTCGATATCTGTTCACTTGTTGCATATTGTACAAAATGTTGTTTTCTATTTTATGGTACGATGTGGTATGCTTGATTGGTATATAAACAAAGTATGTTTGAAATATAGTGATTCATAATTCCGAGGCTGTGACTTGTGTTCTGGACTCAACTAACTGGGCTAGACAGGGAAGCGAGACCAATCGAGACTCTAGGCCGTCCGTTCGTGTTTACGTGACACTGTGATCGATCGATAGGTACGCTGCTCTCTAATTTTTCCAGTCAAGGACACAACAATTAGCACAGGGTAAAAATCGACCGCAACATAAAGCCATAACAATATGTGAATACAAACTTACACAATATCTTATTAAAATCTGAGAACCATACAGTAAATAATTCATTTGCTAAATATCCCTCAATAGTCTCAGACTTGACTGTTCCTTTTGTAAATGTCTATCAATCGTCTCAGACTTTATTGTTCTTTCAATTCCACGTCAATCATTCATTGTTCTTTTCCTCTTTTCTTTGATCTTCTTAACCTTCTGCCTATAGACATTTCACTTTTGGACTGATGATACATACTACTTGTTTGTGTGAACATCAGTAGCAAACATCACATATTGACTACATTGAAATCTCGATATGCTATTTGATTGTATTTAGATTAAATCCCTGTGGAAATTAAACTTGAAACTATTTCTACTAATCTATTTCTAACAAATCCATAAGCCTTAGAGTAATAACATTTCCAATGGGTTGTGTTTTTTAAAATCAGAGATGGGTTTTTTTTGTGGAGATTGTAGTAATTTAATAGTTGAATTCATGAGTCAATTGAAGTTAGACCACCATGGAAAAAGTGAATATACGATAGGATTCAATCATGCATTAGTCTTTTAAAAGAAGACAAATAAAACCATACCCAATCAATGATCTGTAGCAATTATCTTAAAACCAATTTCGATTATGGTTGATTTTGATGAAACTCTTTTAATTTACTTAACAGACAATGTTACTTGAACAGTAACAGTTCGCATATTTTTTGTATTGTTATAATCACTGGAGTGCATGACAAAGTTTAGTTTAAGTGATTGATTACTTAAATATCACTCGATGGTTCATCCTTCTCCCTATGTATGTATGCGTAGTGAACAGAACACAAGTGGGGACAATCGAATGTATCTGACTCAAAATTACAGGACTTGTTGATAGAATCTAACAATCATAAAGTAAATGCTTAAGTTGCAAAATGTCAACCAATTGTCTCAAAATGACTCAGACTTCATTGTTCTTTCATTTTCATACAAATTGCATTCTGTTTCTATTCTTTACTGTTCGATGCTCATGTCTCTCTGCTGCCAGACCTTCTGTTCACGACTTACATCAAATACTACTTATGTCAATATAAGTAGCACACACCACATGTGTACTCAGATTCTATTATTAGCTTTTACTTTAACCTTGCTGAGCCCTTATGCAATTTGACTATAAATTTGCCCATATATTTATTCGCCTCTCCAGTTCAAATTCGGTCGATGTGCTTATAGTTTTATGATCAGCACTACCCCGTGATATACTCTAGTTGCCGTTTCTCATCGCATTCTGATTTGAAACACCGTTATGATTTTTATAATGACGGTTACAATGGTGATGAATTAACGAAGGAAAACCACTACACAGCAATTCGAACATAGTTACCCCACCCTTCTTGTGGGAAGGCAACATCGCTGTTATGCTGGTTGTCTAAAGGAAACACCTTTCTGCTGTACAGTCAAAAGTATGAATTCGACTTTGGACCTTGGGTTTGTTGCTTTTAGTCTTACCGTTCTTCAATCAACCTGTCTGGCATGGTAGGACATTGAGAAACGATTGTTTCAGCCAGTATAGTTCGATTAGTTCATCACGATATGCAAGCCCGACCACTACGTCAAGGTACGAACAACGGTTGTGATAGTGATCATCACTTAGTACCGTTACTCTATTAAACTTGTTTTTTTTTACCTTAAGTGTAAATAATTCAAATAAGATTTTATTACACTGTGTTATTACATCATACCATGCATTAAATGTACACAAACAAACAAACAAAAAACAGATTAAAAAGGAAATGTGTTACGTAATCATGCAAGGGATGTAATAAAAAAGGAAAAGTACCTGTCAGCCTATTTACAGTCAAAATGAATAAATAAATAAATAAAAGTAAAATCCTTTAAAATGGAAAAACTTTTTTGGTATCCAACTCTGCGAATCGACTTGTCAAGATTCAAGAGGAAAAGTTGAAAATGTGCGCATGGATACATAATCATGAATTATTATTATTATTATTATTATTATTATTATTATTATTATTAGTAGTAGTAGTAGTAGTAGTAGTAGTAGTAGAGGAGGAGGAGGAGGAGGAAACACTATACAAAGTCTTTTCACTCTATGAGTATAAGTTAGTATGTCTCATTACATAATGTTCCGTATGGATTATTATAAAAATTATAATGATCATTTGTTTGAATACATTATATCGAATAGAAACTGAATACTAACCAGTCTTATTATAATTAATATGATTGGTAGTATTAATAGTAGTAGCAATAGTCGTAGTAGTACCATCAGTAGTATTAGCAGTATTAGTAGCAGTAGTAGTGGTGGTAGTATTAGTAGTGGTGGTGGTAGTGGTAGTAGTAGTAGTAGTATTAGTAGTAGTAGTATTAGTAGTAGTAGTATCATTAGAACTATAAAAAATGAATATATATGTTAATAGAATTTGAAATATTACAATAATTTACAATCATTACATAATATTACTGTATACAAATAGTTTTTTTCTTTGGTAATGGAGGATTCAATGTAAATCCTTTGACACTAAAATCATCCTCTGAATTCTCTATCCATTGTATATCAAGATTTCGATAATTTTGAAAAGAATCAGATAATTGATTATGAAATTTATCTGTTATACATCCATTGCGTAATGTATTAGGCTTTGAATTGGTGGTATTTAATAATTTGACCAAATGACACTGATAGAATTATAGAGAATAAAGAAGATGACAATGATGAAAGGTAACACATTACTTTCTTATCGAACAAGTCAACTTAAAGAATAATACATACAATCAATTATAAGATATACATATCAAATGGGATAGATGGTAAGTAAGTGTACTATGGTGTATGACACTTATAGTCGATATATAAGTAGTTCTTTGGTAGAATGTGAAAACCATAAGTTCAATACTTCATTTACAAATCTCCTATCAATTATCTCAAAATTCTTTCATTGCTATAATGATTACTCTCTGTCCCCGTTCTCTTTGATTCGATCTTTATAACTTCCTGATACTAGGCATTCCCAATTGAAGCTGGGTGACACGAGATCGAGTTCGCCACGGAGCACCAGTTCCCTCAAGGTTACAGGTACACCTTGCTGACGAGTGTCAAGTAGCACGAAACCCGGGTCGTCAGAGTTTCCTGTCGACTATCTCCAATCACCATCTAACTATGCATTCCCTTTCTGATTGGTCTTATATACTACTTATGTCAACATAAGTAGCATACACCACTCTAGTATGTATTTAGTGTTAAGTGATTATATATATTAAATATCTTATTGTTCCTAAGGCTCATAAACCGATAGAAAAGAATGATCGTTGAACAATGAATGGCGTAGAAAATGTGAACAAATAGTTTGAATGAATGCTGTTCTAGTTGTCGGTTTATACTGTGCATCAATCAGTCAATCAACTTAGTGACTAGGTTTAGTTGAAACATGAAACAGTGAGAAATTACAAACAAATGTCTTGTATTACTTGACTTTTTAATAGTTCGTTAAGTTAGTTTTACTCTTTGACCAATCTTATAAACAGTACGGATAAAATCACTTTTGTTTTAACTTGATGAATGCGATATCAAATTACTAAGCACAATTTCAATTCAATATGTATTTGCTGTTGCAAGAGACTGCAGCGTTGTACAGATTTATTACTGAAAAGTAACTAACGTCAAATATTTCTAGGCCTTAGTGATGGTCAAACTCTGTTGATTAGGTTGCAATATGGTCATAAGTCAAAGCGAATTCATAACGCGTGCACATTCTTGAGATGTTAGGTGTTTGGACGTCGATGGTGGAACACCCTATACCTAGGTTATGTGATAATAGGTACATTGTAGCCGAATGTATCTGTAATCTTGAGGGAACTGACAAACCGTGATGGATTCCTCTTTACATAACCCAGCTTCACAGACTGAGATGTTAACAATCAGTTATTGAGGTGGCAATAGATTCGATTACCGATAAGGATTAAACAAGGATAAAATCAATTTGTCTTTCAATCTCACATAAGGTCAGTTACAGTTCAAATAGCCATGTGATAATGTCTCACTATGTGGAATTGTCTGATATTACTTCGAATCCTGTTGAAAGGATTGAATCTCAAAAGTTTTAAGATAGGCTGTTATGAAACCTAAGTCCAAAGTTTACTGCCAATTTCCTTTAACTACAAAACATTGATTGAAGCGCTTTTTTGGTCTATACCCTTGGCATAGCAAGGAAAATTAGCAAAATTTAATTGCACATGTGTAGATTTCTATGCCTTTGATGTAAGATGACTAATGCCATGCTTAAAACAAAAACTAGAAAATAAGTAAAGAGCTAAAAATGTTCACATTAATCAAATGTTTATCTAATATGAATCTTAATAACTTCCCACGAATCTTTTTTTTTGAAGAATCCCTTCACTTATCAATCGGTTGTTTAACTTCGGACAAAATATGATGAATCATTTCCCCCAATAACGATCTGTTCATTTAATCATTGTTTAGTGTCGAACAATAATAAGTCTATCTTCATCAGATACATGCATTTACTTTTATTTGAGTTGTATCAACTACAATTCGATGGAGGGGGGGCGAAAACGTCAACATCTGAGCGGAAGCATGGGATACAGTGGACAGTTGGTATGCAGTTGGACGATCTAGACTTCGTAAATGATCTGGTTTTTCTATCTCATACTCAACAACAAATACAGAAGAAGACGACCAGCGTAGCAGCAGCCTCAGCAGCAGTAGGTCTCAACATACACAAAGGGAAAAGCAAGATTCTCCGATACAACAAAGCGTGTAACAATCAAGTAACACTTGACGGAGAAGCTTTGGAGGATGTAAAAACCTTTACATATCTGGTAAGCACCATTGATAAACACGGTCGATCTGATGTAGATCTGTTTCCGATCCCCAACCAAGTGTGTTCTTTGACCTTCCTCATTTCGTTTCCCCTCAGAATTCCGAGTTAGCACTTGCCTCCTGATACAGTTTGATGATTTCCGTAATATATGTCGTATCCACTTTCAACGTCTTTTCCTGAATTCCTTTATAGCTGGTAGCTGGTTTGTCTTTTCCCACAGTAGGCTGATGACATCCTTACTTACTTACGCCTGTCACTCCTCGTGAAGGAGCATAGACCGCTCACTAGTATTCGCCATCCAACCCTGTTCTGTACAGTACTTTCCAGCTCCTTCCAGTTGTTATTCATTCTTTTCATATCTGCTTCTATTTCCCGACATAATGTGTTCTTTGGCCTTCCTCTTTTCCGCTTCCCTTCAGGATTCCAAGTTCGAGCTTGCCTTGTTATGCAGTTTGATGATTTGCATAATGTATGTCCTATTCATTTCCATTGTCTTTCCGAATTTCCTCTTCATCTGGAAGCTGGTGTGTTCTCTTCCATAAAAGGCTATTGCTGATGCTATTCGGTCAATGGATGTTGAGTATCTTGCGTAGAAAACCATTTATAAATACTTTTACATTCTTGATGATGGTTGATGTAGTTCTCCAAGTTTCAGCTCCGTGTAGTAGAACTGCCTTGACGTTCGCATGGAAGACTGTGACTTTGAAATTGGTTGACAGTTGTTATTAGTTCCATTGTAGTGTCGCTTACTGTGTTAAGCCCATATAACTTATTCTAGCTACTGGACAGACCAATCTATTCGTTCTTTTTGAGTCATAGTTTGACCTTGTTAATTATTCACTTTTTACATAAATGTATGTGTGCACAATGTATCCTATTCATCACATGTCTAAAGCTTATTTTTGTGTGACTATACATATTGATTTACGGTTGATTAAAAGGATTTGGCTTCCTCTCCTTCTCCACTGCGCGTCGTTTTACTTCACTCTCGTCTCTGCGCTTCCTTTGCTTCGTCCCTCTGATTGTCTGTCCAGATGAATGAGTGTGCAAAATATGTGCATCCGAAAATCCATTTTCGTATTCGACTTATATATTTCCGTTATTCAACGACGTGAGTTAAGTTGATAATTTTATAGGAGAATAGGCGACATGTGTATTTCAATAACAATCATTCACACAATCTAATTGGAGTCAAATATAGGACCACTAAATCATATGTTCTTCATTTGTAGGAATGCGGCTCTTAGGTGTCTGAAGACTCAGTGATACCTTTCCGTTGTTCAATCAGAATAGATGAAGTAATGAGTGTGAAACCAGAACAAAGACTCTTTATATGGATTTCAGATAACAGTCTCTTATATGTTGTTAAACTAATTGATAGAGAAAAAAACTAGGAAAGTTTTGGGTTGTTGTCATTGTCTCCTTGTCATTTCTGCCTAGGCTCTTGCCATTGACTAAAACACTAACGAAGTAAAAGATGAATACTGTCGAACGCTTTATGATTATCTTCAGAAAACCAAACATTCAGATATTAATAATGACTTGAGATCTTAGAACCTAATTAAATAGCCAGCGTTAGATTGAAAGATCAATAATCTAGTTTTTTAGTATCTTAGCACAATGGTAATGATGACAATCTGTTATATCTATTCTCATGCAACTGTCTATGGTTGGTATAAATCAATAACCCAATAACTTTAGACCACTAAAAACGTTTGTTGCACGGATAAATTCTAACCGTAATACATCCAGTTTTCATACTATCTATGTCAATAATATTTAAAAACAAAACTAAAAAGGAGTAAATTTTACCTTGAAATTTTCATGACGAAAAATAAATTTAGATTCACGACCAAATAGTTCATCTTCAGCAAATTTACATTCTTGTAAACAATAACAAATTACAATTGTAGATAGTATATGCTATGGAATAGAAAGAACAATGTCAGGTAAAGTGAATTATAGCTAACAAGGGAAAGAAACTAAGACTATCATTATGTTATATTCGATATTTAACTTCTGATTTTATCTACACTTTGTAGTATCAATGATCAAAATGGAACTCAGAAACATAAGAAACTGGTAATGTGCCACCGTTCACCATTGTCTTCAGTGAGTTACTATCTCATAATAGACCTAAATGAAGTTAGACATTAACATCACCGGATGTTGGCATAATGGTCTAGAGCTTTAGCGTTCGCGTTCCAGACCAACATGTCCTGAGTTCGAAGCCCGATAGCGGAATCGTGGATGTACACTGCTGAAGAGTCCCATACTATGACGAAACGACCGTCCGGTGTTTCTGAGTTTTCCATGGTGGTCTAGCTTTAGTGGACTCATGAATCCAACTACTGAATTACTACAATGTCCACAAAAGCCCCTTCTGTTAAAAACTGCTAATATGCTGTTCAACGAGTAAATAACTCCGTCTAACCATTAACTTATTAAATGGGTATGATGTTTTTAAAGAAAATCTCTGCAATATTATTCATAATCTATCTGTTCTAAATAACTTTTGATATAGTGACTTAATCGAATCAGTATGTACAGTGGTGCACCTATACCAACTAAGAGATAATCAAAATTCATTCCTGAATATCAATAACCAACCAACTCAAACACTCACTAAGATAAATATTGCCTAGTAGTGAAATCCATGACGCACGTTTCATCTTATTTGGGACTCGTCCTATGGATATGCCTACATCCCAGAATCCTGGAATTCACTCCAAGTCTCTAACCTAGTACCATTCAATTGAAACATCATTGCGTTATCTACTTAGTTAAAGTAATTATTTAAACTGTTTTGTACATTGTATTTCAATTTGCTAGTGAAAGTTATTTGAGTTAAAACATCTTCAAATCGTTTTGCTTAAACAATAAAGCACATGTGTATGCAATACTTATTTGAAATTAATATCCAAGATTAAATCATTTAATTCAACTGATAGTTATGAAATGGACATTGTTAGATCAAGTGTATATTAAGAATTTATAAAGAAAATGGATAATTTTATGTTTATAGGGGTGTTGATACTAAAACTATTAGCTATCTGTAACACCAGAATAACAGTCATCTTACTTACTTACTTACGCCCGTTACTCCCAATGGAGCATAGGCCGCCGACCAGTATTCTCCAACCCACTATGTCCTCCGCCTTCTTTTCAAGTTACATCCAATTCTTGTTCATTTTTTTCATGTCTATTTCCATTTCTCGGCGTAATGTGTTCTTTGGTCTTCCTCTTTTCCTTTGGCATTGAGGATTCCATGTGAGAGCTTGTCTTGTGACGCAGTTGTGTGCTTTCCTCAATGTGTATCCTATCCACTTCTAATTTCTTCCACCGCTGGGATCTGGTTTGTTCTCTCCCACAGTTGGTTGTTGCTAATAGTGTCCGGCCAATGGATCTGAAGTATTTTGCGTAGACAACTGCTAATAAACACCTGTATTTTCTGGATGATGGATTTCGTAGTTCTTCAGGTTTCTGCCCCATACAGTAGAACTGTCTTGACATTTGTATTGAAAATCCTGACCTTGGTGTTGGTTGACAGTTGCTTTGAGCTCCAGATGTTCCTCGGTTGTAAATATGCTGCTCTTACTTTGCCGATCCGCGCCTTCACATCTGCATCAGATCCACCGTGTTCATCAATGATGCTGCTCAAATATGCAAAGATTTTTACATCTTCCAAATCTTCCCCGTCAATTGTGATTAGATTGGTACAGCCATTTTAGAATTTCATATTTCTCATGGAACTACTAAACTAAAATATCTAATTAAGGTTTAAATTTTATTCCATTGAAATGTTTCAATCGTCTATGTTTCATTTTCTTCTTTTAATGACTGAACTCTGTGTTGTCTCCTTTAGAATATCAATATAGGGTTGTGGAGATTATTATGTTTTTCATTGAGATCAGGAACCGATTAATATTAGACTACCATTGAAAACTTGTAACCACTGGACGGCCGTCTCGTCCTATTGTGGGACTTCTCAATAGTGCTCATCCACAATCCCGTTCGCGGGACTAACTTTGTGAGAAGCCGTGACCAATGGAGCTAATCCATGTCGGGTAGAGACAGGTATCTACTTCAGTTCAATAGAAGACGGTCGCGCAATTTTGCAGATTGATTGAGGTTAGACAATAACACTGTTAGATTCCGGCCGGCTCAGTGGTTTGGAGATTAGGCGTCCGCGCACGAAACTGGAGGCCACAGGTTTGAATCCCGCAAGTGAGATCGTGGATGTACGCTGCTGAGGAGTCCCACAATAGGACGAAACGATCGTCCTTTAAAATACTCAACACCTTACCTTTAAGCTTAATTTCTATAATAACTAATATATCCGTTTACCATTCAACTCAGTTTCTAAAGTATTCAAAATGAATCATTAATGAGGTATACATCAACTTAACTATCATAACTGTCCGAAAGTGAAATTATTACATAATCACTTCATTTTCAATTTTAAAAACAATTTATGATTGTAGACATTTTTATATTCAGTAGTTTTAAGTAGTTTATCACACACAAAACAAACTAATATAAGAGCATTACTTACTTGTAAAGTGGCAAGTATAACACTTGAAATAAAATAACAAAATACAAATGAGATAATTGCTATGATAGGAAATGCAATTAATGTTGGCGGTCTCTAAAAATTAAAACAAAATGAATACAAAACAAAACAAACTTCATCGTTTTACCACTTATAAAATGAAGAAAATAAAAGTTGATGAGTCACTGTTATAATTATATATATAAAACGAAATATTTCAGGATGGAAATAAATACATTTATAGCTTGAATGGTTGAGATCATGAGTCAATTCAAGCTAGACCACCATAGAAAACTTGGAAGTACTGGACGGTCACTTCGTCTTATTGTGGGACTCCTCAGCAATGTGCATCTATGATCTCACCTTGCGAGATTCAAACCCGGAACCATCAGATCACTGAGCCCGTACGGCATCCAACGGTGTTAATGTCTAACTTCAACTAATCCACGAAATTGAGTGACATATCCACCATTGTCTTCACTGAATTACTACCTCACAACAGATCTGGTTGAACTATTCTGGTCACTGCTTCTCACATTTATAATTACCAAAAAGGAGTTTTATAGAGATTGTAGTAATTTAATAGTTACATTCATGAGTTAATTAAGGCTAGACTACCGTGGAAAACGTGAAAGCGCCAGACGGTCATTTCGTCACATTATGGGATTCCTCTGCAGTGTACATCCACGATACTCATTGCAGGATTCAAACTCAGGACCTATCGGTCTCGCGCACAAACGGTAAACCTTTAAACCATTGTACCGGCATCCGTTGGTGTTAATATCTAACTTCAACCAATCCACCAGCATTTTGCCACCGTCAGTTACTACCCCGCAGCGGACCAGGTTGAACTCTCATAGTCACTTGAAATGCCGTCATATATAATGATGAAATCAAACAGAATTTCTTACTTGTCATCGTTTATTTTTGTATCAGAATTTGTTCAAATAAAAAAATACTTAACTTGGTCAAATCTTTAACTAAATCACAGATTCTATGATCAAAATAGGGTTTTACCAGTGGGATAGAAATCTAATTAAAGTATATAAATACAATTACTAATCATAGGTATGTTGATTGTTGAGAAAGTTAGGTATTATGTAAAGTTATTTCAATGGATTTGTCCAATAAAATCTCGCTTGTTATATCACCCTTAGAAAAATACAAGTCTTAGGTATAGAGTTGTTCATTATTAGTTTCTTTTTTGAAATAACTAAGATATTCATTTTGTAGTACAATCACGTTTATGGAGTTTTGTTCTTTGAGCTGGATGATTTAGTCGTGAAGCCTTCATTGTTCTTCTGAACAACATCATCAGTATATACTTTAGGGTAGAAGTGCTGAACATTTTATAGACAAACTTACCATCTTTTACTACTTATTATTTACTTCAAGATGTTATATCTAGAGCTTTAGATTTTTAACATACCGCGTACAACTAAAGCACTCGAATGCTAGAACCCTTCAAATGAGAAGATAGAAGACAAGGCGAAAGAAACGCATTTGAAAACAGTGTCACATTATGGTACAAAACTATCAGGCATTTATAGTTTTTTTTTTTCTTTTAGTAAAAACCTAATTCATCATTATAGTCCTCCAGTCCGCATCTGTTCAATAGGGAAGCTACGCATAGAGATTCTTGAATACTCTTCCAAAAAGTTGATTAAATGAAAATATCTACTGTTCTTTCTTTTAAAACTTCTTCAAGTTCACTTCGTTGGTCATCTTCACAACAAAAAAAAGCGGGGGTCTTGGATGCGTACTGCTGAGGAGTCCCACAATAGGACGATACGGCCCGTCCAGTATTTCCAGGTTTCCAAAGGTGTCCCTAGCTTCAATTCAACTCATGATCTCAACGTTTGAAATTATCTACAAATCTCCACAAAACCTCTTCTGATACTAATCAACATATACACACTAGTGACTGGTTTCAGAGGTAATTGCAGGAGTTCTAGGAGAAGCAGTGACCAGTCGAGTTCAACCGGGTCATTGTGGATTAGTTGAAGTTAGGCATTAACACCGATGGATACCGGCTGGCTCAATGGTCTAGTTGGTTAAGGCGCCTGGCGCAAGACCGATAGGTCCTGCGTTCGAATGTTGCGAAGCGGGGTTGTGAATGTGCACTGCTGAGGAGTAGTAGGCGTCCCAGTGCTTTCAGATTTTCTATGCGGTCTAGCTTCAACTGACTCATGATTTCAATTGTTGATATATCTTTTATTGTATTCAATTATCAGATTAACTTTCAATAAGGAATAACAATCAGTAGCTATAGAATATGCCATTCAATTACTACTGTTATAACTTGTACAAAGTATTTAAAACTACAATTTTTTATAGACATGTGATTACTTCATTTCATTCAATTCACAAATTAATTAAATAATGATTAATTATGTAATTGATAAAATACAAAAATCTTGTGGATTATTTTCTTCCTTTTCTTTCCTCTTCTTCTTCTTCTTCTGAATTTGCATAATAAAATATGATTAATTAGTTATTCGAAATAAATTAATTATTTATAAAACTTACATATGTACAATAATTAGATAAGATCACTTTAGTGGTTGTGAAGATTGTTAAGCTTTTGATTAAATCATGAACTGATTGATGTTAGACCACCATTGAAAACCTGAAAGCACGGGACAGCCGTTTCATTCTATTGTGGGACTCCTCAGAAGTGCGAATCCACGATCCCGCTTGCCGGGATTCCAACCCAATAGTGATCTAACATCAATCGGTTCATGATTTCAATCAAGAATTAGATAAAAACATTGTTAGCTATCGACTAAGTGATTTAGAGGTTAAATGTTTGTGTGCACGCGAATTGATAGCTTCTGAGTTTGAATCCTACAAACAGATGTACACTATTCAGGAGTCCCGTACTAGAATAAAACGACTAACTATCGAATACCTTCAAGTTATCCATGATAATCTAGTTCCAATTACTTCATGAGTTCAACTAATAAATTACCACAACCCCCCCCCTTTCTGATAATAACTTTGAATGTTTACTTCCTAAAGTAGTAATAATAATAATGATAAATGTTTACATATAATTCAATGATAATTGCTAACTGTTTTTTGTACAACTTTGTTTATATTTATATATATCTCTGTTGTGATGACATATTTTATTATTTTTTTTCGAATAGTTAAATTCGTTTCTTTTCTTGTTCTGCCCGCGCTATTTATTTTCTGTTCAATTTTCAAGTTGTTTCTTCCCCTGATGTGATCAATGGTAATATGAATATTAATAATAATAATAAGAGGCAGCGGTAGGGAATGAAAGGTGTTGTTCATTTGTATACATCATGTGGCGTTATGATAAATATATGAATATGTTGAATAGGGGAACAATAGTTAATAATAATAATATTATTATTATTATTATTACAAATTCTCTTTATCTAAAATGGTAATGACATAACATAGTTACTTCTTATCATATAACCACCTCCCACCCCACCCCCTCAAAAAACCTGTCATTCACGTTAGAAACCAAGCAAAATATGACAAATAGTTAAATATTGGCAACTAGAGTTAAACAGAAGGGAAATTATAGAGAAATATAGAGAAGAAGAAAAAAAGAAGAAAAAGGAGAACAATTAATAATCGAAAGAAAAAAAACACACACAACAGATTGTTGAATAAATGTGTTAATTGTATGTTCTAATTGTGATCCCATGAATAAATTCAATTCATATTTGATCAACTTATCAGTTGATTTTTATTTATTCAAAGATTTAACGTTTTTGAAGGATTGATGGTGTTGGTTACTATGCTAAGCCTATAATATTAACTTATTCTAGATTTTGGACAAGTCAATTTATCCATTGTTCTTAAGGGACATTTCGATTTTGTTAATTATTCCACTTATCAACCTTGAGTGTTTTTTTATATGAGCGTGTGTGAGTGTGTACAATGCTTATCCTATTCACTACATGTAACTTATTTTTATCTGGCTATAAATATTGATTAACGCTTGATTAAAAGGAGTTGGTTCACATGCCTTCTTCACTGAGCATTGTTGTGTTTTGTTCCTTTGATCGTCTGCCTGAATCAATGATTGTACAATATACATATATATCAATAACGCGGGTTAAATCGATGAAATATACGAGGATCACCGACATGTGTACCTCAATAACATTCATACAATCCAAATGGAGTCAGACATCAGGTCATTAAAGATTCATTTAATGATCATATAATTTTGGACATGATAAATTGATATCAGTTGAAGAATAACTTAAAACAAGACTGTACTAGTTATGTTCTCACTCACAAATCCTCATTGGAAAGAATAAAGACTCTTCAGTTCAATAGTGTATTAGATAGCTGAACGTCAGTGTTAGATACATTTTTTAGATTTTATGACACTTATAATGTATTCAGATTTTTTTCTCGAATTGTTGTCTTACTACTGAATAAGATGATTTGATGGACCACATCATTGTATTATAACTTGAAGAAATCCATCTCAACATTAGTCGTCATATACATATAGCACAAAAGATTATGTGAAGGTAGGAAATACACAAGTGCTTTGTAAGCATTTGTTAATAATTTTCTTTCAACTACCAACCAGGCTTAAATTCACTTAGTGTTTGTTTATTTGTATCTTTTCATTGTTATTTATGACCTAAGGCATCCTAGTATGGGACTCCTCAGCGGTGCGTATCCACAGTCCCGCTCAGCGAGATTCTAGGATGAAACAGTCATTCAGTGCTTTCAGATATTCCATGGTGGTCTAGCTTCAATCTTCACAAAATCTCTTTCTCACTATGTATAATCTTTAATCCTTGTCAAAATATTGATAATTCTGTATTGCTATTTACAAAAGTCAATATCTCATACCGATTTCTGATGTCATTAATATAATTGTTTCCATATTGATTAGCCTAGTTTAATTGATAATATCATGTTTTAGAGTGTATTTTTTTGTTGTAATATATTCTACCTTCTTTGATCAAAGTAATAGAGAGATTGTAGCTAATGAGATTAAATTTCTATTGCCTAAAGGTACATTTCAAATCTGGTTACAGAGATATGATGAGATTAGTATTACGTAATAGGTTAGTTATCAACAGATATTCAGTAATCGAACGATTATTCACAAGATTTCACTTCACATTTTTAAGAATGGTTTCCAACGTTTTGAAGGGATAAAACGCGTAACCTTTAAGTGATCAATATATTTAAATCGATCAATCAGTCAGCTACAACGTACAACCAGGCACATATATGCATCGGTCCAGGTTGCCACACCTTATTAGCACAACAAGATGAACCCTGAATTCAAAAAAGTAGTTATAACAATGGTAGTAATGTAGAAAAGAAAGATTATGTATAAGGATATAATACGGGAAGAAAGAATTAGTTGGTAGAAAGAAAGATATAAAGCAATTTTAATCTGATAGTTTAAGGGAAGAAAGAGAGTGTATACACTGACGCCATTGTGATTTATCCTGAGCAATGTCATTCAGAGTCTCCAACCATTAGTTACGATATTCACGCGGACCCCAACCAAGCAGTCTGCATCTACCAACATGGCTCAGATTCTAGGATTTCAGTCAAGGAGGCCTGTTGACCGATTTGACTTGTGGTGCGTACGTTGAAGGCTCCAATGTGTAGTTTGGAGCGAGGGTTCATAGATATGGGGACAGTGCTCTGCGTCACTATAATCGGTGCCAGAGTGGACACTTAAGGAGGAAGGCCAGCATTGCTGGTTAGTGCTGATTGTCTGAAGAAACACTGTTACTGCCGTCAAACCTCTGTACAATCAACAATATGACTTCGCCATCGCACCTTGGATTTGTTGCTTTTAGTCCGTATCATTCTTCAACCGGACCTGCTGGCAGGGTAGGACCTTGAGAAACATTGTTCCACCAATATAAGCTCGACTGGGTTCATCACATGCAATCGCTTAATTGATTCGATGATTCGTTCATCTCACTACGTAATACATAGATACATTGTTGATCCCGTTCAGTGGACTTTCTCATTCGACTCGCACGCTTACTCGCTCACTTACGTGCCCGCTTGCTTTCAGAACTACTCTTGCATGTTTGGTTTAACGTACCTATATTTTGGTGATCAGTGCGTGGTGCAATAATATAAACGTAATCAACACTTCGTATTCATCTTCTGTTTAATACACTGTTGAGGCGTTATCAATTGACGGGTTATTAGGACGAATTGTATACAAAGTTTAGGGGATTATATTGAAATACCGACGGACCACACTATAGCAGAGTAAATACATTATTTGCACATATTTTATTAGTTCTCCTTTACATACCTCATAAGTTCATAAAATTACTGTGTTATATTCTGTAGGGCCAGTGAAATATCACTGAGCCCTTAAT